AGAGTGTCCCACGGTTAGCAGGCAGACAAAGAACAGAATATACATATATAATATGTTTTGGCACAAAATTCATTGGCTTTAATTTTAACAAACACAAAATAATCTCAAGTTGCTTACTTACTTTACTGTCGGCTGACATTTATTTATCTTTAAGTTTTCGCTTTTAATATGTATGACCTAGAAACAAGAAAAAGTAAGTAAGTTTGGGGGTACCCAAAGTTGAAATCTGCCAAATATTCCAGATTGAATACCATGTCTGAATCTCCCACAAAGTCTAAGACCACGTGCATTTACTGCACAGAGGTCAGGGAGATTGGTGAGAAGAGCAGAAAATCAGGTTGGAATGTCAACGAGGAGACTGGTTAGGCAATAGAGATCCTCTAAGAGTACTGTTTCGTTGAAATTGAGAAGGAATGGTCTTAAGTACCGAAAGAGACTTAAGTTCCCCAAATACTCTCAAGCGCATCTCCTTCGTATACCAAGATGCTGTCGTCAACTTTTGTTTCCAAAGGCAGCTTGATATTATTTTGTGTTTTTTATGTGTCGCCAATGAATTTTGTGCCAAAACCTTCATTTTAATGAAAGTCTGTAATACTATGGAGGCTGCTTTCACAGTTTGAGAATATTTTATAGTAAACCTCAAAAAATATTTGTGGGAAAAAGCATTTATGTAGATTGCTCAATCGCACACTTACAGGCGTCACCTAGGTCGTACATTTTTTCAAAACTCGTGAGTATTAGCATGCAATACGAGGTCTGTAGATTATGTTAAGTGACGGGACTGGCAACGTAGCGTCCGACCTGGCAACAGTGGAGACGCAGGGCTTGGAGGAGAGAGGGGAACATGTGATTCGCCTGCTGTACAAGTTTGAGCTGATTTTTTTTGTGAAACACTTTTTTCTATTGTGTCCCAAAAATTAGTGACATCAGTTTCAAGCAACGCTGTGCTCTCAAGTCTTGCTTCAGACTTTTCTTGATAAACAGCCTCACGGAGATAGTGTTTTGTCATGAGCCCAGATTTTTTGGTCGTTTAAGGCATGTTCAAGAGGGAAAGAGTCTATTAAAGATGAACCACGAAGTGAAAGCCTTCATATTCAAGAACCGATGAAGATATCAACAGAATCCGGGAACTTCTGCATCCAGATCATCGGCTGACAAAATGATCGGTGAAAAGTTAAATTTGACTTACACTACCGTTTATGAGATCAAAAACAACTGGGTGTTGCATCATGATAATTCTCCTTGTCACACAGCAATGTCAATAAACACGTTTTTAGGTAGTAAACACATTCCTGTGGCTCATCAGCCTACTTATGCGCCTGACTTGAGTTTCTTTGCCCGAAAAAAAAAAATCACGTCAAGTCATTTTGGGACAAGACATTCAAATGATTGGAACCGACCAGATAAAGGCTATTCCAATATCGGAGTTCTAAGAATGCTATAAGGAGTGGAAGAACCATCTCCAGCGCTGTATGGCTTCAGAAGGAAGTTGTTTTGAGGGTGAAAATATAAAATTGTGTTTATGTTTGAACCAAAAAATAAAAAAAATCTCATCAGTTAATTGACACACCTCGTGATACGCGGATTGCGCATTATTCATGGTATTGACAAAACATTCTGAATGTAACAAATAAATCCACCTAGCAAATGTAATCCTTTCCATTTCCACTTTACACAAAGCTACAAGCTTCATTCACTTTTGACACCTATAGGCTTAATTTGCTCAAAGTACAATACCTGTGTCTATATTCGTCAGAGTTTTGGTGGAATTCTCACCGCTACTAGACAGAATGGAGAATTAAAATGCTAATTAGCTTGTATTCCAACGAAATAATGAATTTTTACCCCCAGCTTCGGGTTGGCATCCCTCGGGATGTCATTTTGGGAACTCAATTAAGGTTCGGGGGAAATTACGAAATGGGGATACAACATAATTTAAACATAACGGTGTGACTAAGGTTATCCTCTTAAATATTCAGAAAATATTGTACATATCATAAGAAACATCTTTTACAGCGAAGGAAGTACCTTTTTGGGAGATTATCATTCACAAGAGGCATAATAAAGGTATTTGAAAGATAGGGGAATATTTTCGGCATTACAAATTTTACCAAAAAATAAAACGTCTTCCCATCAAGCACTTAAGCACTGGTTGGTTTTAAAATTTTGGCGAAATACCATCTAAAATCAAGGAAATGTAAAAAATAGCTTTTCTCTGCCCTGATTCTGATAATTTATTTGTGAGTAGTGAGTGTTTACATGTCTATTTTGATCTTGTAAAAAATAAGTTTTGACTTATGGTGGTGTACTTATGAAATATCTGGGTCTTGTCAGGTGTTGTCGTCTCTCTATTGATACATTTCCAAAGATCTGGTGTCAGGCCAGGTGTTGTTGGCTCTCTATTGATACAGTTCCAAAGATACGTTGAATTGCTCCACAGTCTACAACAAAACATAATATCGTAAAACAACGAAATCTTTCATTCAAAAATAATTATACAGCTTCTTGTTTTGTATGTGCACTTTTGTTTTTTAAATGAAACAGCGAAAAAGGGGTGGAAGCGTTCGGCTGTCCCATTACAAAACATAGTAATTGCATGCTTACACTAATGGAGAAAAATCAGTTTTTCCAAAAAGTATAAGCCGTAGTAAATTATTAAAAAAATCGATCAAAAACTTCAGTTAGATAACCTCTATCCAAGTTTTCCTTTCTATAATTGAATGGAAAAATGTGCCTTGGAAACAGATCGGCAGCCAAAACACTAATTTTTCATAGGCTTAAAAAACTAATAAAACAAATTATTCTATTTCAAAACTCAGTAACTGCCTTTGCTTTGTTTTGTGATGAGTACATACATAAAAGATACTCCGTTACACAGAACAGTAAGTGCTGCTTCGTGTTTTGCAATAAATAAATTTGAAATATACGATATAGACATCTTTGATTTAATAAAATATAAAATGAAAAAGTATATAATATAAAACTAAAAAGTATATAATATAAAACTAACAAAGCAGACCGTATAAATAAATAGGTACTTTAAACAAAAACGAATAATATTACAAAAATGACGAAAGGAACGAACAAATCACATACATAGGTTTGGTAACACAAAGGAAAACTAAGCTAAAGAAACGGGATAGCACCGATACATTGTATTCAAATACCGGAGTCTACGACATCCATTTGCTCTTGGTCCACCAAACCTTAAGAGGTTTCTGAGTCTGGCAGTGTTTGCCAAAACAACTTTCGGTTTTCCGGAATTAATGGCACTAGAGTTTTTAAAATAATCACTTTTTGTAAATCCATGGAGTATTACGTTCCGTGAAACTTGCTCTTTCGGTAGAGTCTTTTTTATACTCTAGATTTGACTTTTCTGCTTTAGCACGGTGGAAATTTAGCTGATATTGAATTTCATCGTCTTCTGTATTTTGTGTGCTCTTTAACATTTTGCACTGTTCACAGATATCAGATTTGGCTTGGCAAAGTGAAATATTCATTTTCTTCAAAACTTGACGGTATACATCGATTTTGCAAACGGATGGATGTACAACTTCATCATACACTTTCTTATATGTCAACTGTCTTGGTAAATACCTAACATTAGGGGCATTCTTGCTCCGATAGTGACTCACTGATGGCTCGAATGACTCAATATGTTATTATATCTCGATTGGATTGGTTACGGCAGCCACCTCTACGCTCCTTTGCCTGATCTCGTCAAGGACCTTTTTTAATTACTGCTACTAATTCTGTTATTACAGAATCGTTGCTATACTATGAAGTATTCAAAAAGTATGGCTGCATATCACTATCTTCTAATGGTGAAGTATAACGCCTTGATTCACACCTCTTACGTTTGGCTAACTGGGTTCTACATTTAAGCCAGCTTTATTTGCTTGTACAACCACTTTCGTCTACTTGTGAACTAGCTTCTTCTTGGTACTCATTTTTCTCTTTTTTACCTTAATTTTAATTTTGTCATCATTTTCCTTCACTATCCCTAGAATATGGTTGTGGTGTGGGGAAGTAATCCTTATCTTGGTCGCTGTCATCGACTGCGCTTTCTATGCGATTAAATTTCAAATCTTTAATTTCCCGTGCCGAATCGTTAAAAGAGTAAAAAGCTTTCAACTCTTTTAGGTAAGTTTCTTTTTGATTTTGACTCTCATAGTTGCATACAAAAAATTAAGGTATTTCAAAATTTACTTTTGGATAAAGCGGGAGTTCATCGATATTCTAAAAAAATAAAGAATTACTGACGATGAAATTATAATGTTTTAGAAATGTTTTTAGTTACCTTCTTTAACCTCGACCGTACCGAAGAAACTATATTCTTCGTTCGTGTACTAAATGCCAGCATATTGTCTCACGGGGCAGCATCCTCTCGCTATCGTGGTTAGAGACCAAGTTATTGAAAAACGCGGTATGTCTATAGTTACAGGGTAGATGGTGGGGATTCATTGCGCTCTTGCGGGATAAATTGGGAGACGATTTCTCAAATCAAAACACATATTCTGCTTTTCGCAGTGCACACGCCGAGGAGTGAACACAAACCGAGGACAGTGAGACCGCACGCGACACAGGCGACACGCGACACGCGCGCGACCGAGACGCGACCGACGCACGGAGAGAACGCCGGAACGTGAGAGTGACGTCCACCGAATAGGCAAAGCCTAAACCGGGCGGACAAAAAACTCTTACACAATTTCCACTCGTTGGACCCCCAAGAAAGAGGCCGTCCATAAAAGTCGAGAACTGACAGTTGGATGAAACATCCACCACGTGCTTCCGCGACGCGTGCGCGATCGAGTCAAATTTCGGGCAAAAAGGGCAAAATTTGGGAGGGGGGTTAGCTCGTTCGGCAGCACACACTCGGGGAATGTGCAGCGGCCTGAACCACGCAGCGCCACGCCAGGAATTCGGGGGGGTTGAGGTTGCTTGGAACAGGGGTGGTGGAGGGTCCGCACAGGGTAGAAGGGTGTGTGTGTGTGTGCAAATCAAAACACAGTAACTACAAAAACCATAACAAAACCCAGTAACCTCTTAGCAGTTACATGTTTTTGATATGGGTTTTGTTAGTTACTGTGCTTTGCAGTAGGAGAATCCTCGATCAACTGTCGGTTACTGTGTTTTGCGCATACCATATTTTCCTTATTGATGGACCGATTTTAGTTTTAACAATACCAGAAGGTAGAGCAAAGTTCAAATTTATTAATAACTCGATTTTGACAAAAATGTCGGTTACTGTGTTTTGTTATGGGACAGCACTTTGACTGTGTCATTCATGCACTTTTAGTAACAATGTATGTTCGTTGATAAAGCATTCCTTTAGAGAGATCGTACTTATGTCACTGTGCGTTACTTTAAAGTCGAGTAAGATATGACGTTTAGCTCGAGTAAAATATGGATTGCCCTAGCACAAATTTGATGAAGCAATGGTTTATTAGGTGGTTTCAATAAGCTTGTTTGCCATTGCCAATGAAGGCGAACTTTAAAATGTGATTTGAATCTTCGTCCTTATGAAATTCAACTTGTATAGGAATTAAAGGAAGCTAGCCTCACTGAGAGATTACAATTTTCAACTTGAATGCTTGAGCAGTTCAACATACTCTTTTCAGACAACGCTCATTCTCATATGAACAGTTTTGTTGATAAGCAAAATTGTCGATACTGGAATGCAGAGCAGCTCAGCCGTTGCAACATCAAACGCCACTTCATTGTCGGAAATTCAGCATCACTATCAGCTAGAAGTTTGATCGAATCTTGCGTTGTTGAGGACGACCGCGGTGGAGCTGTGACTGTTAATTCACAACGCTATGTTTGAGTACTGAGAGTCTTTGGCCCTAGTGCTCCAGTAATTTGATGGGTACAACCCAAGGCATGGTTTTAGCAAGAAATGGCGGCAATTTGAATAGTGTTCGACAGTTTGAGGCTTCGTTTGGAAGAGTGTTTTAGGCGCTCTGGAGACATCTTGATAATGCCTTTTTGTAAGAAATAAATTAATAATATCCTTTATGTTACAAAACTGAACATGCTCCTTCAAGTATAACCAGCTTGAATTTACATCGGATTTTTTTATGGCCCACCTCCTTAAAGCTAAGATCCGATCAAAGCTTTGGCTTTTTTTACATTCTGCCAAGGGTTTGGTCGAATCCGAATACGCATAATTGCCGAAGTTGCAGTGATCTGCAGCCAAAATTTACATATCCCACAACTGAGTGTCTGACAAATATGCTACTATTCGAAATACTATAATGGAAATTGTTGTTTTTTTTTTGAACTTACTAATTACGAAATAATTACCAATTACATATTGTTGTCATATAGTGTCATGTGTCGACTGACAAGTAATGCGATGCCATATCATAATAACTGTATATACGTTCGACTCCGCAATCTACATATGTTGTCACATTTCAATGCACCTGATCATGCGACACTATTTGACTATACCAATTTTTTGCACCTTTGGCCAGGTTTTTTGGTTCCTAAACCACGCCTGACCATTTCCACGTCGACCCAGACAACCTTCAAGAAGGGAGTATATCCCCTTCCCAATTACACCAATTATAATTTATCCATCACAATAGCCTAGTAGGTACACTAAAATTTATTTTAATCCTCTTACCATAATATTTAAATACCTACTAACGTCAGAACTATATTCAGAGGAGTACAGTGATATTTCTCATAGAGAAAATTTTATCCCTGTCCCTGATTATTACCCTGCATCACTTCTTTCTATTTTTCTATACTTTGGCACATGTGAGCATGCTTTTCTGGAGCTGATATGCATGTATTTGTTTACCTAGGCACAATACAGTATTCGTAAGTCGATGGTCAACAAGGTAATTCTTAAATTGAGAAACTTCTGGGTGACGTAACTTTGACATTTTTCAAGATATTGAAGAAATGTTCTCAGTTCTGTGCTTCACTTTACTTACACTATCATCTTGCGTGTGTTTGAAAAAATAGGAAACCACATGATTGCCAGACTCCGACTAAAGACAGCGGATGATTCAGAAGGAGAATACTCTTAGAACTAGAAACATTAAAAGTTCTCACCAACTCACCTGTTCTTCAGATAAGTAAAAATATATTCCAATTAGCAAGCTCATTGCGAGATATATTGACCCTATGGGTGGAAGAGGAGGGCATTTGCAACACATCACAGCTAACAGTTAGTGGCTTTGCTAAACTGAGCGAAAGCTAAATATGTAACGAATGTGTATACTCAGACACGTAAACAGTTAATGACAAATGCATTCAAATTTATCAGATGATGTTACACGATTTAATATCATACAATGGTAACGGAGCCACTGAAATATGACAGATCTAATCAGTCAGATTCCTCTTTTGGATGGACGACCATTAAATCTCTGGCGTGCAATTTGGTTTGCCGCAATAACAATAAAACTCTAATATTAGGTATTACGCTATTATATGGTGATACTTAATGCTAAATCGAATAATAATGAAAACTGCGAACCGTAAATAACAGGTACACAATCATATAGGTATGTCAGGAGGGAGTCTTTGTAGCCTCTTTTTTGCTTTCCATGGCGACTGGGGACGAAGTATTGTAATCGAGAAAAATTTCGAAAGGGAGACATCGTGTGTATTATAGCTGAGACTCCTGGAATGCTTCATAGGTGTCGCTAGGCAACAATCTATGCATAATTCGCGTGCAAAATAAAGTAAATAGTCATCTTGAATTTGATAATTTTAGCATATATCCAACGCGCGACCGATCACGTTGTTCAAAAGTGGAAAAGTGGAAGAATCTAACGGTGCGACCTATCCCGTATGTGATTTTTTCGATAATCTTGGTAAGTTGAACTGTCACGTAACTAATACAAAAGGATAATTTTAAATATTGCTAAGGGTTCAAAGTTAATTTTTTTGTGGCGTTGCTTTGTCAAACTTTTTGATTTTACTGGTAATAAAGAATGATTATGATTTTGATATGTCTGTCATGTTTTCTCGTTTTCTATGAATTCCTTGACATAATATATATAATCATATTCTTGGTTAGATTTTATTTTGTCTTGTAAATAAATATACGGCAGGTCAAATTTCGTCAATAATTAGACTTATTATTGGTCTTTCCAGATTTGACCAAGAACAGAAGCCAAATGGCAGCAAAGGTACGAAGAAATTGAATCAGATGTAGGGTCTGAGTTACACATAGATGACACAGTTTGCATGATACTAATACGGAGCAATCCTCGGACTCTGATGACGAGGATATTTGTTTACCTTTATCTCTATCTGCTTTGAAGAAAATACCGCATTTCACTGGAAAGGATGGCACACCATGGCTAAAACACAAACCACCTAGTCTCCGAACAAAAAATTGTGTTCAAAATATAGTGATCAAGCTTCCAGGTGTAATAGGAGAAGCGAAGAACGAAAGAAATTATGGATTGCTGGAAAATATTTTTCCCATGGATATGATGATCAACACTATAGTTCAGAGTACAAATCAAAAACTGGATCAAATGCGTGTCTCTTACGGGCGTCCAAGAGACTGTTTACCTACAGATTTAGAAGAAATAATGGCGTTTATAGGTCTACTTTACCTAGCAGGTGTGAAAAGGGCACAACACCTCAATACGAGCGAACTCTGGGCAACAGATGAAACAGCATCAGACTATTTTCCGGCAACAATGTCTCAAAAGCGCTTCCATACTCTTATGCGAGCAATCAGATTTGATGATAAAGATAGTCGAGAAGAGCGATCAAAGCTGGATAACCTGGCGCCTATTCGAAATATATATGAAATGTTTGTAGCCAAATGCTCTAGTAGTTACAGTCCCGCACAGAATGTTACTATAGATGAGATGTTAGAAGCGTTTAGAGGTCGTTGTTGCTTTCGTCAGTACATTAGTAATAAGCCGGCAAAGTATGGCATAAAGATTTATGCACTTACCGATGCCAGAACATTTTACGTACATAATTTGGAAATTTATGCGGGCAAGCAGGCTCCAGGCCCTTATCAACTAGCTAATGATGCAGCAAGCGTTGTGAAACGGCTTATAAAACCAATAAACAAATCGGGCAGAAATATTACTGCGGACAATTACTTCACATCTGTTTCTCTCGCTAACGGGTTATACCATAACCATAAAATGACTTATGTGGGCACCATTAGAAAAAATAAACGGGAAATCCCTGGAGACTTCCTACAAACTAAACCTCGGCTTATACATAGTACTATGTGCGCATATGGTATAGACAAAAAAAATGCACTCTAACCTCGTTTATCCCTAAGAAGCATAAGAACGTCCTCCTGCTATCTACGTTTCATGATAGTGACACCATCGATCCAGATTCGAGAGAGCAAAAGCCAGATGTAATAACCTTCTACAAGCTTACGAAGGGAGGCGTTGATGTTGCGGATAAAATGAAGGCGGAATATTCTGTCACCCGTTTCAGTAATCGTTGGCCTTTCACCGTATTTTGCAGCTTCCTAAATATAGCTACTATAAATTCCCAAATTATATACAAGTGCAATACAGGAAAAACTATACCAAGACGCGCATTCATTACATCTTTGGCAAAAGAGCTTATAAGACCACACATGATGAAACGAGCTTCCCTTATAAATATTTCTTTTTCTCTTGGACAAAAAATTCGATCGATTACTGGCATTCAAAAGAAAAATACACCCCCACAGAATCCAGAAACCAAGGTGCGGATATTGCCAAACACGGAAAAATAGATTTACACAACATAAGTGTGACCGCTGTCAAACACCTATCTGTAAAGAGCATACCTTATCAACTATTTTTATTTGTAAAGAATGTAATGATGTTGGAGAAGAGAATTAGATTCTTATTTCCTCTGTTTATCATAACACATAAAAGTTAATTCTATAGTTAGATTCTTATTTTCTCTGTTTTTAAAAAATATTGCCTTTATTCCAAAAATATAGAAAATTAACTTTTTAGAAAAAATCTAATTGCGCGCCTTATGTTAGATAACGTCTATACACGCGACCGATGACGTTGTTTGAGGCCGCGCGACCCCTGGAG